AACCCTTTAAGAAAAGGTTAAAGAAATCACTTAAGGGCAGCTAAAAAACAGTTAAGATTCCAGCTTCTTTTCTAAAGTATCATGTTCAGCAGTCTGATTGTTTCTGCGGGGGTCGCCTGGTGTACAAGTTACAGAGGAACTTAACTCTGCGGAAACTAATCATCTGGGAACTGGCACAAAGCAACAACTTGGGAATTTAAATCTTGGGCAGATCTGGACTCCAGCTGCTCTGCAAAATCCTGTGCTGGCACCAAGAGATCAAATTAACTGCCTCCCTGCTCCACAGCACGCGGTTTGCGAGACAGCTCGAGGTTCACGTGCTCATCTGTACAGCGTGCTAAGCACTTAAATTGCCAAGCACCAGCCTGCTGAGTGGAGAAAGAGAGGCTGAAGCACCTTTCCTTCCATTTATTTGGAAAAGATGCTTTGGCAGCCTTTAATATCAAAGCAAATAATTTCAATTCAATGCCAGGAAACCAGAAGCCCCGAAGCAAAGGTCATCTACTGTCTGGGGGCTGGCTGCTGTCTCCTGTTAGGTTGCCTTCGCTGCCAGGATTCTCTCTCATTCATTCCTCATCCAGACCCATTATAAAAAAAAAAAAGGTACAATATTTAGTCTGATGGGATTTAAGTTAAAAAATAAAAAGCTGTCCAGTCTTTTTTGCTTTATCGTGAGGAGTTGGAGCTGGAGCGGCTGCGATGGCGCCTTCGTCCAGGAGATCTGGATCTCGACCGCCGGCGAACGGGGGACCTGCGCCTGGGAGACCGGGACCTGGCAGGCAGAGCAGAAAGCCCTCGTTAGGGGACCATGGCAATGGGCTCCAGACTGTCAGCTCACCGAACAACTTCTCAAAGCCAATTCCCACCCCCCTCCAGAAAACCCTCCCACCCCCGGGTAACGGCCCTGCAACACAGCGCAGCCAGTTCTAGAGAGGAAAAGACAATTCAGCTACACAGCAGGAACGCTGTGGCTGCCCTCCCTCTGCACCAGAAAAGCTGTGGGAACACTTAATATCCAAAGAACAGACAAGAATCTTGTCTTCTTCCTCAAGCAAACATCTCATGCTCATTCTATATCAGATTCTCCTTCTCCTGAAAGCACTGACTCCTGGAACGCAGCAAGATTCAGGGCAAGTACTTATCTACGCCGTTTCAAACCACAGGGCAGTTCTTGGAGGAAGTTTAACTCCAGTCAAGCTTCAAGCTCTTCAGTACTATAATCACTCCCTGTGGCCACCAGTTTGGCACCCAGGTTACAGGCATACAATACTAACAGAACCTGAACAGGGTAGGAGAAGTGAGGCTAGTGGAGAGAACAGAACGTGAGGAGGGAACCCCAGTGCAGCGTTCGCCAGACCTCAGTAAAAGGCACGTTTAAAAAGGACCAACAGGCAGAAATCTTGTGGCACGTTAACTAGTTCTCTTCTTTAAATCCGTGGCTGGTAAGCTGTTAGTGAAGTGGCTCAAATAGGAGTTGCTTCTACTAATGAAGAGACAGAGGGGCCCACCTAGATGCTGACGACAACTCGCATTATCTGAGCAGATTCAGGCAGCCCCAAGCTCCACAACAATTGTGTGCACATCAGGTCACATTTTGGGGTCAGTGCACTCTGCTCATCTGATGCAGGATTGCTTTTTGGTCACGTACCCATCCATGGAAATAAGGGAGGGAGGCACAAAAGGTTCAGAAAAGGAAGCGGCTGGAGCTGGCTGCCAAGAGGCTTCTGCCAGCTGATGTCCACTCCCACTTCACCAGAAGGGACTGCAGGAAGAGGCTGGGAAGCACCCGACACCCCCGACAGGCTGTGCTCGGGGTGCAGACCAGAGCAGATCGCTTGGGGTTAGGAACCACAATCCTGGCTCAACTGATGCCCAATAGCTGCTGCTCTGATTTGGAGGGGAAAGCCCAGCCAGGCAGAATGAGGCCAGCCCCGTGCCGAGTCTGTCAGGGACAAGGTGCTGCTGTGCTGAGAAGGAAACAGAGGTGGTCCCAGCTCTCACCTTCTCCTCATGCGAGGGGGAGACCTGCGCCACATGGGCGGCGGCGGCAGCATCCTCCTGGGGGGGCTGAAGCGCCGCGGAGGGGGCCGGGGCCGTGGGGCCAGCACGGCTGTGGCAGTGATCTCCTGGCCGTCAATCTGACCTTGTGAGGGAACCACACAAATGGGAAGAAGTGAGTACTTCCAACAGGAACATCTACACATCGCACTCCTGCAGCTCACAGCTCTGCCACAGACAAAGGAGGCATCAAGCAGCCCACAGTGCTATTTCCACCACCCGCCCAGGGGTTGCTCTGACAAATACCACACAGACACCAGACTTCATCTAATATACCCCTGAACAGCAGTTCGGATGTTTGCCGGATGTTAGCTGTTCACACAAACTTGAAGAATTTTATTACCATTGGTGTTGAAAAACCTCAGTTTTAATAGTTCTGTGCTAGTTTGGATCTGTCGTGAACCACACAAAAGCCAAAGCCACTTGGACTGAGACAGTATTTCAGACCAGTTCCCCAAACGCTTCCCCATCACCTCTAACACATTCTCAGATCAAACTCATCTGCTCCAAAGGTTCTTTTAAAAGCATGCAGCCTCCTTGCAGGATTTGATACTTACCTCCATCCATGTGCTTCAAGGCTTTCTCAGCATCATCTGGGTTCTCAAACTCCACATAAGCATAACCTTTGGAGAGGTGTGGATTTAGCCTGTCCACCGGCATATCGATCATTTTAATCTTCCCATAAGTGGAAAAAATCTCCATGATGTGATCCTGCAGAGAGAGAGCAGGGCTCAAGGACACAGACCATGCTTGCTGAGCAGGGTCTGGCTCATGCAGAGCAGTAAATGCAAGCTGCACACAACCCTAGACAGGCTTTGAGTCAATGCCACCATCACGAAGAGCTGTGTTTTGTTGGCCAGGCGTGGCAAGGACTACCGCTGCTTTCTCTCCTGTCGTCTAGACAGCTCCTCCTCAGATTGTCCCAAACCTTCACTTCCAGCATTACTGCTGCCTGCCAACACTGGCTACAAAACCACAGCTAGTGTAAGGATCCTCCTGTGCACCTGGAATGAGAACTTATGCCCTCAACTGAGAGCTCTTCAAGTTCAATTGTTAACCTTTTTTTTAGCTCCCACATCCCTTTTGCAGCATCTGAAGCCCCTGACCTCTCAAAACCTTTAAACTATATTCTAGCAAAGCCAACTCAAGCCAGCCCAGCTCTCTTCAGATCCTTTATCAAGACCCTTAATGCCTCCAAGGTAATTTCAGCTATTGTCTCAATTTCTTTTGTTTTTTTCCCCAGGAAGGCAGGATACAAGGTCTGGAATACTGACAAAGCAGACAGACCTCTTAAGCACCACAGTCTCAAAGGCCTGTGCTGTATTTGACTCAGTGAAATCCTACCAGAGTTTTCCTCACTAATCAATTTGGACTCAGAGCAAGAATTTCCAGGAGCACATTTCCAGAACCTTGGCAGCACACCAGCAACAAGAAAGTTTTGAGAGCTTTGAAAGTCACTTACATGTCCTCACAGAATACATGCAAGCCTAATATGACAGGGGAGCATGCCATTACCTTGGTCACGTTTCTAGTGAGCCGTCCAACATGCACCTTTGTAGGTCTGGGTGATGGGCTCCGTCTCTTCCGCTCCTTTTCATCCCTCTTGGGTGGCTTGGACCTAATTTTGACCACACAAAGCAGTTTTCAGGGAACACACAGGACAAAACCAAGAAGCCAGTCATTATCACGATTTAAAA